AGAGAGAGAGAGAGAGAGAGAGAGAGAGAGAGAGAGAGAGAATTTTGTCGCCTGCCTGTCACGTACAATCGAGTCGCACAGAGTGACGAGATATATCGTCGCGCCCCCATAGTTACGTAATACAGGAAGCCAACATTGTCGAATCCTCATTGTTAGCGCGGCGTAGTGTAAATGCGGCAATAATCCCGGCGTGATATATAATTATGTCTTACGTGGCACGTTATTACAGATAGGCTGCGTGTGACTCTTGCGGCCGACACACCGACGCAACCCTCAACCTCCTAAATCCCCCCTCTATTCTCTCTGGAGGCCGTTATCTTCTCCTCCCGGTGCATCTGCCCGACTACCAGGTAATACGAGCCTCATATGTAAATCCCATTCTGATTAACATTCACGTGTACCAACACGCGGAGCACCCTACATCACAGGGTCGACCCGTCTCACCTTCTCCTCGCCACTTACTCATAACTGCCTGCGCGTTGCGAGCGAACGAACAAACGAGCGAACTAGCGAGCGAGCTAGGGGTTGAACTTGTTTGCGGCGAAATTTAGGCGGCTAGCGTAATACGTGATGCAAGGTAACATTAGGGTATTACGTGACGCTTTCTTGACACGCCGGAATATACCGATCTCGCCCTTTGACTTCCTCCGCATCCAACGATATATTACCCCTAGCGCCGTGAGATTGCAACGACCGTCCTCACGCCACGATCAAAATGGAATTTCCGCGCTTCCAGAGATCGATCGGCTCGCGATCTCCCTCGCAATCGTTACAGCGTGGTTTGGTGAATTATTTTGCCTCCATGCAAAGCAGTTCGTTCAACGTCCTCGCGACGGAAGGAACAGCAGTCTTTAGTTGGCTCGAAGGAGCATCGTTGACGTCAGTCGTTGCACGTGTACGCTTTTGTTCGAGATGAAAGAAACAGGATCATCGGGATTCCATTTGGTCATGCAGAATGTCACGCATATTTTCCTAAATAAATTCTGCTTTTATCACATGAAATATGTCTCTCATTTTAGACGATCCGAGAACGTATGTTGGTCGATTCCTGCTTCGTCGCTCGCCGGCGTCGCACCACTGCTGGAACGAGAAGGCGGGGTTGAACGCCGCATGCAGTAAACTTTCACCGCTTACTGTCGTTTAAGGCGCCGCAAATCTTCGCCACGCTACCCATTTAAGACTCGCTGTGTTGTCGAATTATGGTTCAGGAGCGGAGTTACTTCAGCAGGCAAGTTCCCCGAATAGGTTTGCGAGAATTTGATGGTTTGACGCGAACTCGGTAGAGATACACTGTTCGTACTTTAAACAACCGGCGGCTGTTCACGAAAGATTCAGTGTGTCCCTGTATGTGTGTGCGTGTACTTTCTGTATGTTTAAACAACCGGGAGATGGTAAAGATATCACGTTGTCTTGCGGTATTTAACGCCAAGTATACATCTTTCCTCCACGCTGCGCTCACGAATAAAGTGTAATATGCCCGTATCCTCTAATTGCAGCACAATCGCGTATAATTACAACGAATTTTCTTCCGACGGTCTTCTCCTTACCGCACGGTGGTGCGCGTACCCTCGCCACCGCCTCGTCCCGCTGGGCCCCTTTAATTTCCGAATAATATATTTTGAGATTAAAACGCTATTCCCCGGGCGTTATGGTGTTAGGTAAGCTACGAAGGAAGCGCGAGAGCGCAATATGAACGCTTTTCGTCCTCTGCAAGCCGTAATTGCGCAATATCCTGGCTTAATCTGACGTACTTAAGCTGAGCCCGTTCTAAGTCTGTCAAACAGGCCACTTTCCAAATATTTGCACTTCATACGCGATTACCGGAGCATTCCCACACGATTCTCCCATTCTCCGTTACTGTCCTCGTTTTCTTGCTTTTTTCCCCTTGCATTTTTTATTTTATCTCATCGCACAAGAGATCTCTTCCTCTCTCGTAAAATCTGTTTCAACATATTTTTCGAAGCGTAACCGGGAGAGCGCGATTCGTCGAAATTCTTACGAGTTACGAGCAGACTGCGATTTGATCGCGTCACCGTCGCACCGCTCGAATACGCGATATCATACACACCCGCGAATCTTGCCTACGTTTAATATTGCTGTCCGTATCACTTTGCAGGACGCAATACTCTCGCCACACCGCATCAGCGGTGGAAGCGCGTTGGTTTTCCAAAACTGCGCAGCTGGATCGCGAAATATGTGATCCGCCGGCGGGAATTCGCAGCGCCTTGAGAATGTGAACATCGCAGGAATTCGGTGAGTGTTTTTCATGTAATGGTGAGAGTCGCGTTATTTGACGCGTTCCCCAAAAGTTCGAAGTAAGAATGGAATCTCGGCAATATACTTTCAAGAAGGGAGAAACTAGCGGAAACGAGATACAAGGATGAATACGACGCTCCACTGACACATTTCCACTGAGTCGTCAGCTTTTCGTCGCGCCTCAAATCCACATTCTTTCATCTGACTCTTGTGTTGTGAAAATAGCGAGGGAAAAAATCGCGCAAATATCTGTCGACGCGGATAGCGCTATTCGGGATCTCGATCTCGATTTACAAACGCTTTGTAAATCACGGACGGTCACCTTTTTCATGGATCCGCCGCAACGTACACAATGCAACAAAGAGTACGATAGCGATAGCGATGTGCGACATGGATAAATTTTTACCACGTGACGAATGAACTTTAATTCATCAGACTTTGCGGACTCACGGTGAACGATGTTTGTCGCGGAACCCATTCGTGCACTCCCACGTTTCCGCGGCGTGCCCGGGAATACATTCGCGGCAATGAAGTCCGCGGGACATGTCCGTTGTAACTGGCAGTTAAATTAAACTTTGTTTATCAGTGTATAACGATTTTCCATTTTTCGTCTCGGCGAACTTTCGCGTCGCTCCGATGCATCGGAAAATGTTCATCTTTATTCCAGCTACGGCGAACTTTCCCGGGGTCCGCCGTTATCGATTTATCGGGCCGTTCTATTTTTTAAATCGAGTTGGCAAATTATTCGCGTTGCTCGGATTTGCACGTAAAGGATTTCGTGTTATTCGCGCGACACATTTCTGGGAAAAGGCGAGACGGTATTCTTGCGAGACGTCATTTGCGCAAAGCCCTCCGTTCACGCGATACGCGAGATTATGGAAGCGGAATCGACGGCCTGCAAGATTAAAAGGCGTCGCACTCTTGGCTCAGCTTACCTTGTATGTAGAGAGATTCGCCACGACACAGGCGAGGATGGCTTCTCTACCCACTGGGACCGTCACGTTTGTTATTGGCGCGCTGAAGCTCGGTCCCTCTGAAACAGGGCGACGTTAAATGCTAAGTGACCCATTAACTACATTTCGTTGTATCGTCCGGCTATGCTGCCGCGCTATTAAAGTGCTCGCTCGGCGCGAACACGAGGTCGTCACGATCGACAGCGTGGAATTTACCGTGACACGAATCTCCGCCGTCATTACTCACGATTGGCGCGATATCGCGCGGAAAATGCGTCAAAAGCGCGAATCTTGTCAGATTTAAATTCGAATTAACGTTCCGACTGTCGATTCATAAATGGACTTGTATGTGGATTTCTGGCGCGACAGGAATCAAACGTGAAATTCCGCGCAGAAAGGATAGCGCCCCGACGGAAGTCGGAGAACTTGGGAGAATCTCCGTGCAAATTCCGACGGATGACACGTGACACTGCAACGCGTGCTCTAAGTAACTCATTTACGGCATCTCGCTGTATCGGCATACACACACACACATACATGTACTGCTGCGAATTTACTGACGCGAAACCGTTTGGTTTCGCGCAACACGCGGCAGAAGGTGTGCATAGGCGAGTTAGCGAGAGCACTGAGAACACGTGCGCGCTGAAATATGTCTCCGTATCCATCCTAAAATGTTCACGCTCCTCGACAGCGCACCGCACACCCCTAGTCGTTGGAAGTTCTGGATATCATTACGGTCTGGCGTTCCGTCGTCGGAAACGTATGTACCCGCGCTGGGACGCGCCACATCCCACACCCTCATGCGCCACGGCGCCGCTAGTCGTCCACCCTTTCCAGACGGCGAGAGCGACAGGGATTATTTAAACAAAGCCATTTACGTCATATCACAGGCAAGGTAACACAGCACACGTCCCCGCGCGCGGGAATCAATCTCGGCGCAGAACCGACCTATCCCTCCTCCCTCTCGCCCCCTGTGAAAAATAGCCACATTGTTCGGGGATACGGTTTTCTCCGAAAAGTCATATCGGCCCGGCGAAAATCAATCGGGACGAATCACGACGCGCGGATCGACCCGCCGATACTTTAATTCCCAGCACAAATATTGTCACGGTATACATGTACTGCACGAAGGCGTCGGAAGAAGGCGAGGGGTGCGCGAGGAGGAAGCGGTGGACGACTAGTCGGAGGCTGGAACACGCTGTGCGCCAACAGATAAGCACTGATCCCAATTACACGTCGGAATAGAGCTGTTCCCAGGCTGAGCGGATCATGGATTATTGACTCCATCGCGATTACTCCGCGGTCGTCGGCACAATTGGTAGATCGATACACCTTCAACCTTCTGCGCTTGGCTCGGAGCCGCGAAACGAGCCCGTCGAACTATTTTAATGCTCATCCCCCGACATGCCCCGACGACACACTCGTCGTCTCTGTCCATAAACGGCCCGAGGTCCAGAACGGCGTCGGAGAAGTTGGAGTGTCATTTTGATTAATACTATCGCGTCCGCGATGTCGTACAGGGCGTTCTGATAGATTGCAAAACCATGTCTCAAGAGTTAAACACGTACACAGGCATGAAAGTGCTTTCGCCACGAGTCCTTTAATCTTGCGTCCTTTAACCTGTCGGCCGTGCGCCATCACGGTGGTTTCGCGCGGACGCATCAAAAATAGCGTACGTCTCTCGAAAGTAACGGAACTTCAAACGCGTTTAAGTTTCCACCGATAATGCGGAAGTCAAACTTACGGCACTTGCCAAGAAACGGTCGTATCGATCAACGGCCAAAAACTACGGCAACTTTCTTCCCGTCCGCTAGCATGCAATCTCCGCCGGTCGAGGCAACTTGACGCACCTGCGATCCGCCCCGCTGTGGACTCAGGGAAATTGAATTCAGCAAGGAAAGCGAACCTTGGACGATCGAGTGTCCGTAGACACACGTACCGCCGAGAGAGCAGACAGTGAGAACGAAATTGCTGGCAGACCATATCATTCCGCGCCCCCGATTCGCTCTCGGAATGGTAATTACAGATCGGTAAACAGCCCTTTAGTATCGTCCAAGTGAATGAGAATGCGGTAATCTGAATTGCGTACACATCGAGACTCAACTACTTGTCCGCGACTCAACTCTGTCCCCGCCTCTCAAAAGTCCTCGCGAAAACTTTGCAAGCGAGCGCGATGGGGTTCGACTAATCACTCGTAAGATCCCTCCGCCCCCTATTCATTGGGGGTATGCATATAGCCCGGAGGACACAATGCATAGAATTAATCAAATCCCTTGATTCAGCGTGAAGCAACGGCAATGCGTATCAACGCGAGGTTGCGCCCGTCGGCCGCTCTGTCACTTGGAAGTCTGAATGGTGGAAATAGATTCGAAACAGCGCTGAGTGATCACGCGGCCCGCCAATGATTAATCGGGGCCGCTCCGGAAATAGAATTATTGTGTCGTGACAACAATAAATGATGCACGCACAATCACCGCTCGCGCACGCCGGCCTCTTGTCGCTCTCTGGCTGGCTGACGGTCCGCGCACCGTGCTGCCACTTCGACACTCGTTCGTCCTGCATTGTTTTATTTCCGAATGCGAGAGGGGGAACGAACAGGGGGAGAGAGACGCGGAGAGGAGCGGTCTGGCAGTTTGCTCGATCCTGCCTCTCTCGTTGCGAGTCGTCGGTAAACGCTTTTCTCGCGGCTACGGCCAAAGCGACGCACCAATTTGTTGAATCGCGCGGAAAAACCTCTTGCCCGAACTACTTCTCCACGCACATTATTCCGCGGTCCGCCGGAGACGCGCGTGATTCATTCAAAACGCTTTAATCCCTTTCGCCACCACCGCTTCTCTCTCTCTCTCTCTCTCTCTCTCTCTCTCTCTCTCTCTCTCTCTCT